GCAGTAAAATATTTATTTTCGAGGCCTGGGTCAGGTGGCATCCTCCCCCATGAAGCCTTCCTTGACACCCCCCCCAACTCCTAATGGAAGTGATCTCTCCTCCCCAAACTCCTGTTTTAACTTAAAAACCAATGGCATATCAGAACTGGAAGGAATCTTAAAGCTTATCTAGTACATAAGCCCCAAATGTGGTCTCCAAGAGTTGGACATGACTGAAACCATTTAACAACAATAACAAAGAGATAAAAATTAAAACCCAGAAACAGGTACTAAATGAATTACTACTCTCATATTACAGATTTGGAAACAATAGTTCAGAGGTTAAGTGACTTAGCTCTAAGTGTCAGAGGAAGGATTTGAACCCAGGTCTTCCAGTTCAAGCAGTCTCTGCAACATAACTTCTTGAAATAAAATTGAAGGCATTAGGCCTCTCTGAGATAATGATATTTTATAGGATTATTGAATATTAGTGCTAAAAAAAAAACTTAAACATCATTTAGTCTAAGTCAGGAGTGGGGAACCTGCAGCCTTGAGGCCACATGTGGCCTTCTAGATATGACTGAGTCCATGTTTTACAGAACGAATCCTTTTATTAAGGGGATTTGTTCTGTGGAGTTTGGATTCAGTCCAAGGGCCACACTTGAGGACCTAGAGGGTCACATGTGGCCTTGAGGTTGTAGGCTCCCCACCCCACCCCTAAAGACTTAGACTCTAAGTCTTTCATTTTAGAGGGAAATAAACTGAGGCCCCAGGAGTGTAAATAATTTGCCCAAGTAGTAAATGGCAGAGCTGAGCTTCAAACCCAGGTCTTAGTCCAAATCCAGTATTTTTTTCCCCCAGTACACCATGATGCCAGCTATGGGAGGTGGACAGGGTGTTAGGCATGGGAGTAAAGGAAAGGAGTCAAAAGAGATGCAGATACAAATCTCACCTATTACTTTTACCAGGTGTATGACCATGAGCACCGACTTTCATCATTCTAAGCCTCTGTTTTCTCATCTGCAAAAATGAGGTTAATAACAGTACTTCCTTCACAGAATTGTTGGGATGATCAAATGAGATGTTTATGAAGTTCTAATTAAATATTTACCTAAAAAGAGAGGCATTATGGGGTAAAGATAAAGATAATGAGCTGGCCTTCGAATCAAGAAGACTTGGGTTCAAATCCAACCTTTGCTAGAGACAAGCTATGTGACCATGGAGAAATCATTAACCTCTCAGAGCCACAAGCAACTTTCTACAACCGTACATTACCCAGGAGTTGCTGATAGGCATTGGTGAAATTTCTACTCCTGCTTTCTCCCTCATAAAAAAAGATAGAGAGATAGATTAGATAGATCTGTATATAAACAGACAGACAGGTACATACACACACATAAATATATATGCATACATATTTAATAGTTTTAAAATGCATTAACATTTTTGGGACACATGTATATATGTGAGGATACATGCATGGTGTGTATATACATACATGTGTGTGTGTATTTTTTTTGTTTGTTTGTTTGTTTTGCTTTTTAGTGAGGTGATTGAGGTTAAGTGACTTGCCCAGGGTCACACAGCTAGTAAGTATTAAGTGTCTGAGGCTGGATTTGAACTCATGTCCTCCTGACTCCAAGGCCAGAGCTCTATTCACTGTACCACCTAGCTGCCCCCATAGGTATGCATTTTTTAACATCCTCAGTGCTCATAAGGAGACCTAAGGGCCTAGAGATGTGGTATGGCACACTGATAAGAGCAGGAGATTAAGGGAAATAAGCCCTGGATTCTAGTCCCAGGTTTATCACTAGCTGAACAAGTCACTTTTGTTCTCTGGGCTTCATCTGTAAAATGGGGATAAGAGCCTTTGTCAAGGTTATTGTGAGGATCAAATGAGAGATGACAAATGTGAAAGCTTTTTTAAAAAAGTATAAAGTGCTGTGCAAATGTATGGGTCAAGTTACCCCTTCTTCAAAGGAAAAAACAGCTAAGAAAGCAAAGCAAAGAGGGACCGACAACGGGCAAGAGCCCCAGTGGGTCTGGCAGAAGCTGCTGGCACCCAGAATATATCCCAAGAAGGGCTATTTGAGGAGCTGCCAGTGCCTTCTACCCACTGTCTGGCTCACTTCTCTCAGGCAACTTGACCTTTGGTTGAGAGCTCAGACCACAGGATCCACAAAACCAGCCACCAGCCATTACACGATTTTAGAGTCAGAAAAGGCATTAGAAATCATCTAAATTCAACTGCTTTTGTTTTTACAGATGACTAGCCTAAGGCTCAGAGTGGTGGCCCTAGGTAATAGTGACAGAGCCAGGATTCAAACACAGACTCTAAGGATTCTAAATCTAGCACCTTTGCCATAACACCACCCTCCCATCCATTCTTCCTAAAAACTATTAGTAGATAAAGCCTCTTAATGGAACTTCAGGAGTAATCCAGGGCTGACAGGTTCCCAAGCTCAGCTGAGAGGGGCTTGTCTCCCAGTTACTTTCTTACCCAATCCCAAAATCAGGGCTGCTTGGAATGCCTCTAATACATCCCCTACTCTTTTCTTACCTCCCTTTATTAAGTCTATCCTACAGAGAAGCAATGTTGTACAGGGGATAAAGAACTGGCTTCCAAGCAAGGAAGACCTGGGTTAGAGTCCTGCATCTGACACATACTGCTTGTGGGACCCCAAGTAAGTCACTTCACTTCTCATTATTTTAGGAAACTCTGTAAGTTATAGAGAAAGTGCTTACCTGTACTGGTACAGTGAATTCCCTATACCACTGAAATTGCATTGCCATAACCTAGGCTAGCCTATTTACATATACCTCAAATAGTCCTGGAGTGAAGTCAAGGAAAATCCATCCCACCACCACAAAGTCAAGAGCTATGATCCTAGATTCAAATGGAATCTTTATTGTCCCCAAGACAAATAAGGGTTAACCTTGATCCTAAAATTCAGAGCTAGGAGGGCTCCTGGAGGGGAGGGGAGGAGGAATAGAATAAGCATATTGTGCCTACTATGTGCCAGGCACATTGCTGAGCACTTTTACAAATCTTATTTATTGATCCTCACAACAACCCTGTGAGGTAAGTGCTATTATTAACCCCATTTTACTGTTGAGGAAACTGAGGCCAACAGAGGTTAAGTGACTTGCCCAGTAAGTGTCTGAGGCTGAATCTGAATTTAAGTCTGACTCCAGGCTCTTAGAGATCATTTAATTATTGTAATGAGGAGACAGAGGTCCATAGTTTCAGTGACTTGCCCAAGGTCAAAGGAATAATAGATAGCAGAGCTGGGTTGCAGATCCTGAAACTCTGAAACCAAATAGAGTGTTTTTTCCACTCCACTATAGGGCTTTATGAGTGATAAAAAACTTTCTTCATCACAGACTCGGGAGTTCTGGTTCAACTGTTTCTAATCTCCATTTTACAAATGAGGAAACTGAGGTTTAAAGTGGTTGTGACTTGCAAGGGATGGAGCTGGGACTCACACCCAGGTTTTTTGCCTCTAAGTTTAGGGCTCACTCCACCATCCACCCCTCTGATTATTCCCACACCAGAATTCACATGTGTTCTTAACATGCCCCACATTCAGTTGGCTCTGTCATCTTGCCTCCACCAACCCCATCTAACAGATCATTCACTTTATCTCACCACAATAAAGCCCTCTCATCTGACAGCCCAGAACAGGAAATCTCCCAAATGCAAACCAATGGACCCAAAACTTTTATCAACTTGGATAGCCTGCCTTGAGCTCTGAGATCTGGGACGAGGCCTGTTCCCCCTAACAGTGTTTATAAACATATTTAAAATGGACGAAGCTCAAGGGAGAGAACTTTGGCTGGGGAATGCTCAATCCTGAGTACTGAGTAGATTGAAGATTCCCATGGATCCCCCTTAACAGACCAAGTTCAAGACCAAGACAAAAAACAAAAAACAAAAAAAAAACGGGGGAGGGCAACAAAGAGGGTGGCCCGATTAAGGTCCTAAGAAAGACCAATCCCATGAGCCTGGGAAAGAAGACTCAGAAACGGAGCCCAACTGTGCCGAGCTAAAGCGTTTAAAAAACAAAGACCCTTTGAAACGAATAGTTCAAGGGGGAAGGGAGGGAAACAGATCAGAAGACTCCAAGTGCATCAGCGATATTAATATTTCATATTTTGCCCTAGATATGACTGAAGGTTTTTTCTCCCTGCCTGGATTTCCCAAGTGATTTGAATAAATGAACTACAGAAAGTCTTCAATTATCCAGCTCAGCCCTGACATTCCCTACAGTCAATCCCCCAAATCCACATCTCAACAAAAGGGCTCCTCCATAGAAGCCCTAGTCCATAGTCAGTTCTCTCTGATGCTTGGAGCTCCCTTACTCCGCTGAGAAGGCAAACATCGCTGGATTCCTCTAAAACCATAAATACCTCAACGCCCCGACATTCCTGAGTCAAGCCGGGCCAGAGCTTGGGCCACAAGGGCCCTTGGGAGGGCTTCGGGGCCCTGTTCGATGCCCGAGAGCCCTCGGATCCGATTTACCAGTTCGCTCCCTAGGCTTGGAAGAATCCTGGAGAGGGAGGCGCGGTGAGAAATGTGTCTGCCGGTTCTCCGAGGCGGGTGGAAAACAAAGCCGGGGTCAGCTTCCCCGCGGCCCCATCCAGGGAGAGGTTAGGGCAACGCCCCCTCATACAGACACACACACACACACACACACACACACACACACACACACACACACGCACAGAACAACGGCCCCCCCCCCACAAGCCGGGACAACGCCCCCCCCACACTCACTAGGACAACGCCCCCCCAATGCGCGCGCGCGCGCAGACACACACACACACACACACACACACACACACACACACACACACACA